TGTTGACCCTTGGGGTCCTTCCGGAAGGCTACCCCCCAGGCTGGTGGTGCGCACGTTCCACTATTTATTTCTTTATTTGTTTCTGATTCTTTTGTTTCCTTGTATTTTATCGCTCTACTAACCCTTGGGGTCCATTTTATTTTGGTATACCTTTTCTACGTACGTTAGCCTGTGACCACGGAAATCGATCGAGTCAAGTGCTGGATTAGTACGGAGAGATTGAGACAGAAGGAGGTACTGGATAGAGAGACCGGGATGGTTTTTAATGTGAAGACAACAACAACATAGGGGGACCACCGTGCATCATCTGCGTGCCCCCAGCCATGTGCCCAAGAAGAGCCAGCGCGCCAGTACGGGCCGCCCGTAGCACGCTGTGTGTTGCGTACCAGCTAGGCAAGAGGGAGAAGATGATCAGCGCACCCTGAGGGGGGGGGGCGTAGGCCAACAGCTCAGGCGCCTTTCCAGCAGCAGGATTGGCTGCAGCGACTGTTTACAAGGAGAAGCGACACTGAAGGTCGCGTGGGTGGAGTGGATTGCTCCACCGCAGATTCATTCAACCCATCTGTACTCTCGCGCCGAAGACGGACTCGCGAAGTTCTGCGGTTGGAATAGGCCTGAAGACGGCGGGTAAAAGCTCCATCGCCACACCATGCTCCAACATGCCGCTGAAGTGCATTTGTTGCCTTCCCGAGCGTTGGGTGTGGTTCTGGTATGTATGAAAGTATTCCATGCCCTACCACGAGGAATCGCCAATGAGAGAGAAGGAAGGATGGATCCCGATACTGCCAGCTACGACGTACTCGAGCACAGAGAAATCTCACGTGATGGCAAAGTTGGAGAAGGGTCCGGGGGCCAAGACGTTTGTCGCTGGTGCACTGCGCAAGACTACATGTAGTCAAAAATGTTCTCGGCCCTCAGTATTAGCGTAACAACAGCAGCAGTAGACTCGGAGTCCAGCGAAGCGGGAGGGGGCAGTGAAGAAGAGGGAGGGGGAGAGCGAGAGGACAGCGAGGATGAGGGAGGGGGGCAGGGGGAGGAGGAGAAAGAGAGGTGAACGAAGAGCAGCAGCAGGACAAACAAGCAGGCGGAACAGGAAAAGGAGCCAGGTGCACGCTCCCGGGGGCGTAGACTTCCTCCGAAACGACGGTATTCGGAGTTAGGGTATACAGCAGTGTTTTAAGCGCGAGAATGGCTGTTGGAACGGAACACTGCTGTGTAAGCACTGGCCCCTCGGGCACGTCGAAGGCGTGCCTCAGGCAAAAAAGCGCCGCGGGCGAAAACTTTTGGGCACAAAAGATAAATAAGACACTTGCCGTAGGTGCCTTTTGTTGCCTGAGGCGTGCCTGAAGGCATGCCTCAGACTTGCCTCAGTACAATTCTTGCCTCAAATTCCCTACTTCATGCCTGACGGTGCCTGAGAAGGTGCCTTAGAATTGCCTGAGGCCCATTCTCGCCACACTACAGCGTCTTCGCTAGGCTTAGGCCCATTATGTTAGCATTGCTGTTGGCATAATTGGCCGTTTGGAGCATTAAAAAAGCAAAATTGAAAAATAGCAACGCTCGAGCATATTTTGCTCAAAAAGGAGCATATTCGTCTGTGCGAGGAGCATACACGGCTCCTTTGCTGAGCATAGTGGCTGTGCGCTGGCATCTTAAGCGTGCCTGCCGCCTGATGCTCGATCGTTGGACATCTGATGTGAGTGTCACACTTGACATAAGTGCATACACATAAGACAGACATGAAGACGATCTTAAAGGAGTACAACTAGCGCGCGCGCGCTCTCCGAAAACACGCACACAGCAGTGGGCTCCACACGCACACACGCCCGCGCGCGGACTGCTCGGCATGGCACGCTCTAGCTCTTCAAGCTCCAGCTGTCTTGAATCCCCCCTCCATGATGAGAGCAGTTTCACCCAGCTGTTTCACACGATTTTGTACATCATGTATGTCTTCATCCCTCTCGTGAATCGTGCTCGTACTTTTTGTCGGTTGCAGGAGAACGTCAAGCTTTGGCTCAAGAAGATGGCACTCTTATACATGCACGGCGTCCGGTACCACGCATACGCGAGAATCGGGGACCATCCGGGAGCTAAGGAACACGCGACCATCCGGCTTTTTTTCGAGGGGGCGAGACTGCTGAACTTCACGTTCGTGAAGGGGCACCAACTGGAGCAGTCGGACTTACACATCCTAGCAGAAGTGCTTCCGTTCGTGACACCAACCGTGGTCGCCCTCGTAGAAGAGATGGATGCGTACAACGTCGCGGCGGCTGAGACGGATGCCGGCTGCGATTTGTGGGCTTTCTGGCATGACAACAGGCTTAAACTACCTGCTTGGTACAAAGTAGCCAAAGACGTAGCCTTGGTCCAACCCTCTTCCGCTTTCATGGAACGGGTGTTTTCTGTCCTTCGTGCTTGCGTGGACGATAGGCAGGAGCATTGATTGATTGTCTCTTAGACAGGATTGAGGCGGCGGCCCTCCTTAAGTACAACAGGTCTCAGGAGTGCTAGAAGGTATTTTTCTGTTGCCCTTGCTGTTTGGTTTACAGTACAATAAGGCCTTAAAAGACCTACATACAGCGGAGAAAGTGGTGCGGTTGGCTTTTGCTTTCTGCCGTCTCATCTTGCTAACCTGCAGCAGCTGAGGAATTGCCGCTTCCGCTTGCTGTGGGTGCTCCGCATTGAGACTGGTGATGTTGAGCTCGTTGGCCGCAGATAATGAAGTACTCCTACTTCGTATATACTCCGTACTACTTCGAGTATTAATGTGAAGACAACAACAACAACAACTTCGAGTAGTACTCGTTGTGGGCACCAGTTTTCGAAGGAGTGCGACGACTGTGATGAAGGTAACGAGAGCCGAGAGTCTTCGAAAACAAAAAACTGCTGACTGATAACACGTAGACTATCTATGTAGTTGTTGAACTTGGGCGAAGCATTAACATTAACACCACAAAAACAAGCGTGCTAGGGTAGCACGGTAGCATAAAGAGGCATTTGAGGGATATTCCCGCCACCAAAACGGAGCATCGGTGGGAGCATATCGAGACCAAAGGAGCATATTCGATGAGCATAATTGACTTTTGCAGCATATACTTTCCAAAAGAAAGGAGCATAAAAATGTAAAAAAAGGAGCATGATGGGCCTAAGCCTAGTCTTCGCCGTGTTCAATCTAAAAAGCGGCCCCGCGGATGTTTCGATACCCCCCCCCCGAATTCGTCCCCCTCGGTGTTTGCCATCGGGGTTGGGTTTTCGTCGCTTGGCAACGACGTTGTAAAACAAGCCG